ACTGTGAGTGCACTAGAGAGGATACGAAACAGCATTTAAAACGACGGTCATGTTAATTTTGTGTATATGTATTCTTAGTTTACATTAGTGCATTATTCTGGATAATTTAAAACAGGATATGGATACTCTAAGAAGACGCTTATCAATTTTCAAGCGTTTCAGCCATTCTATAAGTTATTAATTAAAAACTGAGTCTACTCAATATCATTTTAGTGGAGCTAGATGGGTCCATAGTCGATGAATCTGGTATGTAGTTAATCAGAGGAATGTCTAATTTGTTGATTGATTACATTGTTTAATTTTCTTTGAATCACATGAAAGCAATTTTACCACTGAACTTACCTTCCATTTTACCAGTCTATTCAATACGAGTAAAGGAAAAAAACACTGCAAGGATGCAAGATTATGCCGTGAGATCGATGTAGTTATTCAATAATCTGTGTTTGTAGAATTCATAATGCCAAATTACAGATTTGATAATGAAATTAGTTTTATCGTTTTATTTCATCTTTTTGGTAAATTTCACCTAAAATTGACTTGGATATTATCTTAGGGATATTTGATTTCTACAGATGAAATGAATTTAATCAAAAGGAGTGTTACAGGATTATTACCTTGCACAGTAAATGTATGCTTGAATCAAGGCATATGTTTAATGGATCCATTGTTCAGCAAATTCAGGTGTATATGTGGAGCATACCATTCTGGTAATCTATGTGAGAAATTTAATAGCAGTATTTTCATTTGTTCAAAACTTGGTTTATGTAAACCACTTGGTGTAAGTGTTTTACCGTATAATAAAATATTTAAAATTCCCTTATGATTATGTTAAACAAAGTTTATTATTATTTAATGGTTGGCAGGTCGTATGAACCAGTAAAGATCTATTTTCTTACAAAAAATTCTTTAATTATGCATGAACTAACATCTGAAACAATTTTTACTTAGAATAACAGTGTTGGAAAGATATTTATTCAAGCTATTACTGACTACTTACAAGTAGTTCGAAAATTATAATCTATTTATTGTGCATTTTATCCCGATTTTATCCATTATTTAAGATTTGTTAAAATGGATTTGAAGTTAAAAATATGCATAATCTCCATAATTTTAGCAAAAAATTGTGGATCATTGTTGATAAGGTTTTTTAAAACCCTATTACCAAACTAATATTCTCTGAAAAACTATTTTCTGTGAAATGTTATTTAATTTTGAAATTATGAGTTAACTTGCTCTTACGAAGTAGGTCGCATTATTTGCACTAAACTTGGTCTTTTGTAGCATTACCTTGGAGTATAAATCTCTGTCATAAGCTCCATACTAGAAGATATGACCCATGCAGGCCATGCACCACTACGAGAATCGTTATTCAAAGTGATCTACGCTAAAATGTAGGTTTATCTAAAAATGTGTATAGAACAGAGACTTCACTAATTTAACTATTAAAGCTTAATCCCTATCTCCAAAAGTCATGGGCATGATGGCTGGTGTTACCCTGCTCAAAACTCCCACTTTTAATCCCACGAGTTTTTCTTTTCTTTCAGTTTACCTATATTCGTTAAATCGAGAATTGTCGTTCATTCCTCTTTAGTATTTATTATTTTCACCGTAATGGTTATTGTTACTTTCTGACTAATGCCCAACTTCTATTCTATACTTGTAATTATTGACAACTTTGCTAACTATTTAATACAATATCATTTAATAGTTGATATTCATTATGGATCTAGCTTATTTTGGGTTTCATTGAAAAATCAGGGATCAGCCCTCAGTTGAGGAATTGTATACTAGGACAAAATACTTGTCCAGTGCTTCCTGGTTTCTAATGATGAATGAAATTTGGTTAATCTTCAGTGAATGTCACACACGAATTTAACTAAACTTCACAAGACCCCCTTCGTCAATAACTATTTATTTCGTTGTAAATAACTATGTAAAAGAAATCACTTATAAATTTTGGAGAATGATAAGAAGTTATATCTAAATTATCTTCATTTTTGAGGTGAAGCGAAATATTAATTTTAATTATGTTCGTTATAGAAATATTAAGTCAAAGTAAATTTAGGTGAGGATATCAGTCAGTCAGTCAGTAACAACGTGGAAATACGTACGTACGTACATCAGTTCGAGTTGCCATACCACATTGGCACAGAGATTCAGTTATCGATTCAAATACCGTAGTGGTAGATGTAGTGATAGGGAACATTAGGGTTTGATGATGTTATTTAAGGAGTATAGTCCAGTGGAATAGATTTGGAAAGAAAATAAAGGACATGAAGAATTCAGAAGATTAGATTTTGAGAGAACACAAAGAGTGGATGCACCTGCGCCATTGCAAACGATTTTGAGCCATGTCATTCAAAGTCTCTAACCATCGGTTGCTATCATCTCGCGGTCCCCAACCAAGTAGTCTACAAATAAATGAAGTTAAGTCTAAAGCAATTAGTCCCTTTCATAAATTTCGATAGTGTAATAAGAAGACGAAGATCATAAACTACGTGATATATTAGCTCAATACATTTCGAATAATCTGATCACATATAAACTTGTGAAGAACATCGATAACGCACTACCGAAATTTATCAAAGGGACTAATTGTTTTAAATTACATTTATATATAGAAATAAAAGGTTAACTAGACTAGAAACGTAGGGTGAGAGGACACAAGGTTAATAAAGAAATAATGTGAAAACAATTTGAAACCTTATCACTCTGGATAATAAGTTAATATTACCAGGGTAGGTTTAAGGTGAGAACAATACACAGAAATGGTTTGAATTTTCGTATGCCTAAGGCTTCAATAAACCTTATATGCCCTTTTACATTTTTGAACAACGTCAGAAAAGCCTAGTTAAGATCAATTTTATGTATTTGGCAATAGAGGATGATGTATGTGTATCCTCTACTCTTATTGGGTCATTTGATTCTAGTTGTTTCTGCAACCATTTAGGTACATGTTCACACACCCTAATTTTGAGATCACTATTACTCTTCCCTGTATATGTGTGACCACACATACATTTAAATTGGTAAACATAGTGGGATGTGATACAATCGTTTTCATTTCTTTTAGGTTTTCGATGAGGCATGAACCTTGTTCTTTCCTGTGTAATACGTCTTGTTAATGAATGATTCAAGCATTTGTTTCAATAACAGACTGTTTGAATCACCTCTGAATGGTATGATGATGTAAACAGGCTTTTTCTCTACCAAGGCTACAGTAGGTCTCACTGTACCATGGACTTTCAATCTATTTATGAATTTCAAATGATAGCCATTTTCTATTCATGTTTTATTTAGCAACTGAACATCATCATCAATGGCGTTATTTGTACAAATACGATCAAGCCTGTTGAAAAGACACCTTATCAAACCACGTTTATATTGCACAGGGCAATAACTAATAACTAAGGTATTGACCTGTCCACGTCAGTTTTCTAAAAATGGATCGCTTGAATGAGCCATTTTCTCGTCTACTCAGAAGTATATCTAGGAAGGGAAGATGATCGTTCTTCTCCTCTTCACATGAGAGACTGATATAATTTTAGAGTGTTAAATTTATTCAATAATCAGTACATACCCTCATTTCTTTTACAGCCAACTAAGATATCGTCTATATATCTCTTATAAATGACATGTTTTCAATTAGGTCATCAGCCGGATTTTCAATATGTGCCATGAACAAATCTGCTAATAATGGTCCTAGAGGGCTAACCATAGCAACCCCATCAATCTGACGAAAGTATTCACCTTCAAAAGTGAACTGAGCTTTTTCAGTACATATTAATAGTACATCTTTAAAAAATTTTAAAGTGACACATAATTTAAGATTGTTTAAAGATATGTAATCACATAATATATCGATAGTTTTTTTCAAAGGTACATTTGTGAACAAGGAATTCACATCAAATGAACACATTGTCTTTTCCTTGATAATAATATCATCTAAATGATCAACTAATTCGAAAGAATCCTTCAGAGAATACTTACATATACGTCTTCGGATAGGGTCCAACAATTTTGTTAGCCATTTAACCAGGTTATATGTAGGTGATCTGTACATTGATAAAATAGAACGTAAAGGAATGTTCGGTTTGTAAATTTTAGGTAGTTCATATAAATGAAGTTACTTGGAACCAATAGGTTTAAGAAGATTAAATTCTTATTTATGAATAATGTTCATATGTAGCAATTTTTCTAGGTTTGAATTTACTATTCCCTCTAGTTTACCAATACTTCTATATTCAACATCAGACATAAATTTACTTTCATCATTGAGGATGAATAACACCTTACTTTATTCATGATAACTACGCCTGATCCTTTATCAAATTTTAACAAGACAATATCAAGGTTTGTTCGTAGTTCTTTTAATAATTTAAAATGCTGAGAAGTTAATATGCTTCTCTGCTTTGGTCATTAAGTTGCACAATGATCTGAAAAATTATATTCACACTAAGAGACATACATTATATCATTGGTTGTCATTGGATCATCCGTCAGTACAATGTAAATTTACATTTCATAACTTTCAATAGATTTTTTTTAATGAAATAAAATAAATGTGAACAATTAAATCTTATATAAGCAAAGATGGATAGTGGCTAGCACTGGAATCCAGTTTGACTCACGTTTCGTCCTATTTGGGACTCGTCAGCTGGATGTACCTGCATTTCAGAGTTGATGCTCACTCTTAGACTCGAACCCAGTATCGTCCGCTTCAAACGCCATCACGTTATCCACTTAGCTACTGAGTTCTGATAGCCAATTGCTTGTGAAATAGGGTGAAGTTTAATTCACTTGATATTGTTTTACTTGAATTTTCCCAATGAGTTTTAAGACTGCAATTGATCAGTCTCTCATATTGGCATATGTGCATACTCTGGATTCCACTGCTAGCCACTATCCATCTTTGCTTATCATGCTTTTAAATTAAGGCAATATTGAGGCAATACGCACAGTATGCACATATATGCCAATATGAGAGACTGATTAATTGCAGTCCTAAACATCAATGGGAAGATTCAAGTAAAACGATATCAAATTAAATCTTCTTATTCAAATAATCATATAAATAAATAAATAAATGATTTTCCTTAGTGAATTGCTCTTCTTCTTCTTATACTTTTTTTTTTCTATTCCAAATAAATTGATTCTTCAATTTAGCCATATCTATTTGGATTTAGTATTTTTATGTTTCTATGTATTCTTATCACTTTTGGACATGGATTTTGTTTATTATTTGATAAACTAATAAAATGTAAAACTTTACAATTGAAATTTATTGGAAGTATACAAAATGATGATGAGAGAAAGCTGAATAATAATAATAATAATAATAATAATAATGATTTAAATAATGAATCAAGAATTCAAATGTCTAATTCTTCTTTACATCAAATAATAAATCCAAATCAATTTCTGAGAAATATATCAAAATTAGATCAACATATAAATTTCTCAAATATAAAAACTCGTATTCATTTGAATGAAATCAAACCAAAATATAAATGTGTAATACATGATCACATTAAAATCCCATTCAATGAGACAAATCAAAATCATCATGAAATTATTAATTTAACTCGAATAAACAAAGATCAGTGTTTATGGATTCAAAATAAAGTGAAATCGAAAAACCGGTAAGTTAAAAGTAAATATTATGATAAAAATACAATTAATATGAATGAAGAATATTCTTTTCAATGAATTTCTTATCATGGACTCTATAATTATCTCATATCCAAATGAATAATCCATAGGAATTGGACAGATTTAAAGCAGAGTACATCATTCGGAAATTGTAATATGTAAATCAAGAATTGTTGTTTGTCATACATAGGAATCAAATCACAAAGTTAATGTTAGGGTTGACTGATATAAAGTGTTAAATTGAATGAAATTGTGCGACAAATAGTGATCGGAATAAATATGGTCAACATGGGGTGTAAGAGAAAAAAATAATGGGATAAAAATCGGAAATTACGTAATATGTAGAATAATATGAATTAGGTCAGATATAGTAGATTTAGGGGTGGATATGAATTAATTTCTCAAGAAGGTTATCAACTGTCATGATAATAATAATAGTAATAATAATAATCACAGTCGTAAAGATAATAATAATGATAAGTTTGTGACATAAAAATGAACATTAATCAAATTACGTCACCATATTATAAAATTGATTATTAACTACTTGGCCCCAAAGTTGGTCAGGGTAAAAGGAGTGGCTGAACATACTTCTTTTGGATGCAAAACTCTGGCTTTTTGATCCGAATAACAATTGCTTTAGCCGCCTGTAGGATTCGCAGTCTGACTCTTGGTGACATGGCTCAGAATCTATCACAATGGCGTCGATGTATACACTCTCTGTCTTACTTTAAATTAAGGGATTAAAATCACTTCAAATCTTTCTTTCTACGAACTAATTCTTTCTTCCTATACTATCTCCTTATACACAATCTTTCTTCCATATATTACCACTACTGAATTAACTACTTTTATGAATCTGGTGTTCATCTTGTTGTGCTAATGCGTTTTGGCAACTTGGACCGATGCATATATATGCCTGGTCCTACGTTGAAGCTGACTGACTGACTGATTGACTGAGGTAGACTGCTGTTAACACGATAGATTATTGCAAAAGATTGCTCCATGTTCGCTGTGTGTCCTGTCTGAACTAGATGGTCTAAGATGGAGCTGTTATAATTGTAGAACCTGATGAGAAATTCATTGAAAAGAATATTCTTCATTCATATTCATTGTGTTGTTGATAATAATGGGAATTTTTCAGCGATTAAAATATTATGATTATTATTGAACCTGTTAAAAATAATATTTTGTTTATAATACCATCATGACTAAAATCTTATTATAATCATATATGAATGGATTACTTATGAAGTTAAGCACAGTGTCTTTCTTCATATTGGGAAATCAGATCTACATAAAGACTGGATATTAATTTTAATTGATTTAAAAATGTCTCTTGTGATAGTTCTGCTTTTTTTCTCAAAGATTGTTAAGTAAATTTTTCTTTGTTTACAACATACACAAAGTATAATCTGTTTCTTTAAAATTACTCAAGTATGTAATATACGTCGATGATGTTTTTATTATGTTTATAACAAAACTGTTCAATTTACACTAAAAATTATCAATACATGATCGAAATCATATTGTGGTGCGCGCTACTTTTATTGATATAAGTAGTATATGACGCAAGTTTTCAACGTAATGTCTGATAGCAGAAGATGGGGAAAAATCAAGAAAGGAAAAGCGGGAACACAAGGCAGTTTGTATGAAAACGCATGAACAGTGAAATGTCAGACAATGGATTGGTGTTTGCAACATGAACAGTCTAGTTTGATATGATGGATTGATATTTTGCAAATTAACGATTTACTATATGGTTGTTAGATTTCGCTAACTAGTTCTGTAATGTGATGTTTAATATATTCGATTGTCCCCATCGGTTTTCTGTTCACTACAATATCAGTAGTAGTAGTAGTAGTAGTAGTAGTAGTAGTAGTAGTAGTAGTAGTAGTAGTAGTAGAAGCTAATCGTAAATGTTGATATACAAATAGGTGACTATTGTTTATTTAATTCAAGAATTATATTACGTTTATCTTATCAGAAAATGATTGTTTATTATTTAAGCATTTTAATGGTTTATATTTATGGTTGATAATAGTGAGAATGGATTAAGAATATCACGATTCGCTATTATTAACTGTGATGAACCGGAAACTAGGGAGAATTTATTTGTGTAGATATTTAATGCTCATAGGACAATAATTATATTAACTCTATTGTGTGTGTGTGTCACTTTCTTTTGTATCACGTTTAAAAGTTGAGAATTCTACGGATTTTATTCTCTACTGCTATTTTCGATAGAGAGTTCTCAGGATAACAACCAGTCAGTAAATACCCAATGTATTTAACTGTGAGACAATTAAATACTGAAATCATAAGTCATAGGGAAAACACTCGATTAGTTAACAGTTTGGACATATATGATTATCAATATTCCCATTGTCGACATTGAGAAAATAAAATAATGAATCAGATTTGTATCTCGGGCAAAAAACTTTTGGTCGGGTTGACTTTTTTAAACTCAGTGGCTTAACTAGGAACCGTTGGTTGCCGTACTGGACAACATTATCATTAGCACTTACCTCATTTAAAAACGAACTGTTTAGTCACTCCTGTGGCTCTAAATCAACCTAGAAATTTTTGTGGATGAATCTCTTCAAAAGTTTCGTTACGTACGTTTGTCTTTGTATTTTTGTTGACTGCCTGGTTAGGTTTGCTTATACAAAGGTGATCAATTTACCCTATCCTTACAGATTGATGAACAGGGTCCGCTTGTACATGCCTATTGATTGAGATTGGCCTGAATGTCATGATTTCAGAATTTCTCTGACATTCTTTGGATTTTATCCATTCAAACTCATGTATACGGTTCTTTACATGCATTGATGTGATGGATGACATGTCATGTCATGTCATGTAACTGTTCTTCATGTATGCGTAACAAACGAAGCGTCAACTTTGTTTTATGCTGTGTTTTTAGTACTTAGTGTAATTTATTTTGCAGATGATAATGAATTTGTCCTCATTATATAACTTTTGGTCAGCATAAAGTTCAATAAAGTGTTCACTAAGGGATATAATTCGAGATCAAAAATATATTTGCGTTTCCTCGATATACTGCTATAATACGGTAACAAGACTGGAACTTAAGTTTAAACTACCACTAGGTTAGATACTCGTTCGATATACTATACACAAACCCGAACCACATTATACCATGTACATGATTCCCGACTAAAGTGAAGAACTAGAATACATATAAGACATTATATTATTTAACACAATTATTAGCAGTCCACTTAGTCCAGAATATAGATCAGTAATGAGAAATAAATCCTAAGGTAAGTAGTCGGTAAGAAATATATGTCAGTTCACGGTGGGTGGACAATCTCATTTACTTTTACTAACCACGAATCACTAAACTAATAATCTAGCTTCCGGTTTTAACTGGAATTGCGAAGTTAGGTACTTGATTAAAAGTAAATTCTTGAAGATCTAGTGAGTGCTACGGTGATGAATTTAACTCCTGTTGGGATGGGTTCTCTAGCTGATGTCCGTCCATGACAAACACATTCCATAAACTTATCTAGCCTCTTGAAGACTGACCAATTAAACTTGAGGAAAATCATATATTTGTATTATTCAGAAATTTAGATGGTTCTTAAATAGGATTTCAACTATAGGTTTCATAATCTTTCTTATATCTATTATGAATTCATCATAAAATTGTTAACACTACTACTAATATTAATATTATTTGCTTTACCTTAGTTTACAACCGATGCCAACTTTATTCATTAAAAAACCGAATTATTCAAATGAATTGGACGAAATACCTGAAAATGACAATCTTTATTTAAATGATAATTCCTACTCATCAAATGAGACTAAAGCTTCAATAAAATCCTCGTCATTCAGACAAAAAGTGAATGTCAATGATGATAATTGTGGAGGATATGATAATGATAATGATGATGATGATGTTAATGGTGACGACAATGAAGATAATAATGAAGATAAATTACTATCAATTTCTGCAAACAATCCATCTTTATCACAAACAAATTCAAAATATCAACAAAATACGAAACATACTAACGCTTTATCAACATCTGCCATGACATCTTATTTAAACACACATCATCATCATCATCACAAAATATGTACTAAACAAATGCACATACTTCAAGCTCACAAAAGAGATTTATCTTTGTTTAAACGATTATTTCAATGTGGTTAGATGATGAGATATCCAACAAGATAATGTGAGATACATAAATCTACATGGAAAACAAGCATATATTTACCTTCAACTTGTAGATATCATGTATCTTATTTGTCAATTCGTTCATCAGCTACAACAAAGTTCACAATGACAAAAGTAGCAACAAAGACATCAATAGTTTACAACAATCATAAGTTTGAAACTATTTCACAACTATAAGAAAACAGGAAAAATTATTCTGATTGAAAAACATGTTGACAATCAGTCAGCTTATATTGCTTCGCATTTATGGCATAATAATAATAATACTGTTAGCGCTAGTGAGGTTTGCATGGAATATGACAACTTTTTCAATTATCCATTGATATACTACTTATCATATAAAATTTCTTCATTTCTATATCAAGAATATGTTAAATAAATTTGATTTGATCTCGATTTATATTGATAGTACGCTTATTGAAAATTTCGTCTATGCTGGATTTGTGATAAAATATTAATTTTCATGGTTTCATTTATTTTTAAAACTTAGATTCAATAAACAGAGCTTTACAAGTAATGAAAGTATATGAATATCTATCAACTTAATTAATTAATTAATTAATTAATTAATTTTAACACATAGGTATTGGTACAAGGAGGCACCAAATACATATGCGCCACACGAATCTTAATTGATTTGTGTGAGGGCTGTGATACTGCTCGGGTGTCCAAACCGAAGCAGGTGGCTTACTTAGGGGGCCACACTCCAAGCCTTCGACCTGAACGTCTGACCCACAAGGCAGTGGAGCATCGTGAGGAGATGCAGTCCCATGGTAGCCGGTGACCAACGATTGGTTCATAAGCCATTTGTTTGTTCAGGATACTGGAGCCCATGTGCACGATTGGTTTGGGATCCGGTTATAGCGCCGGAAATTCGCTTTTCGTCCTCTCATTTTCGTAAACAACAGTAATGGCACGAGAATGCAGTGAGTAGAACGTCCCTGGCAGAGGCTATATACGCGTTGCCATGTGATAGCATTTGGAGAGGGAGAGCGGACTCTCCCCACTCTCGGCCGTACCAGGGCATTTGGGGGCATCTATCAACTAAGCCTCTATTGTTCAATATTATGTCTTAAATTAGTTATATGACTTCTGATATAAAACACCATTAAGTAATAGTGACTATACTCGTTAGGAGGTTAGTCATTGATCTCATACATTATTCACACTAGTTTCTGTAGAGTTATACTTCAATAACTTCTATACAATGTTTGAGATTAGCATTTAACAGTACTAGTGTAAATGAGTATACATGATACGATGAAATGGAATCCAGATTTAAAGGAACAAGAAGTTCAGTAAAAACAGGTGGAAATATTTTCAGCTTTTACGATATTCTAGTAAACAGTGAAGGACTTTAATAAATAGTATATAATATTATACATCAGATAGATTGTTTTCAGTTACAGGTACTTTTTAACAACAGAATGACAAGATAATTGGTTAGCTGGTGATTATTTGCTAGGGTATTATAAGCATTACTGAGTTTAGAATTTGAGAGTGGATATCCCGTGTCGGCGGCCTGCTTGAATATCTGGGCTACCTGTTCCTCCCATCTAGATATTTCGTCAAGTTATCTGTTTTCTTGTTTGTTTTGACACACTATTATGTCTATTGAGCTCACAACCTATTCAGGCGCGTTTACGAAAAGTTTACAACCTTTCGTTGTACGGATTACAAAAAGGTACAACCAGAGACATCATGGTGGTTTGCAATATGCATTGAAACGAATGAACATTATTCAGATGTCGATTATCGAACTCCTAACATCTAACTGGCCATCACTCAATATTTATCGTCAGGATCGATCAAGATATAAGAAAAGGAAACTTGTTGAAATACTTTATGCTGAGAATTCAATAGTGTACCACAAATATAATGTTGAATAAAGCTTATAGTAATAATAATAATGCAGTAAACAATTTAATCTGTGGAGTATTTTTTTTAAGATGTTCTAAAAGGTATCTTTAACAGTGACCCAGGATAGATTTTGATGAACGACCGGCGTATTTGGAAAGAAAGGGACAATTTGTACACACCTATTGAACTAATTGATCAGTGTAACTTATCCTTCATAATGATTTAATATGACATGCTGGTCACAGTAAGATATGCAGTTGTTCGTGATATGAAAGGTTTATCACTTGTTATAATTTCATCAGCAACCAAAATTCAAAAACAGTAATATCCTAGAAAATATGCACATAATCATTGAAAAATCTTTTAATATCTGACGTTTCCTAATAAATTGTAACTGAAATCCATTTTTAAGACAAACTGACTTAAATTATTTGTATTGAGATCAGAAAATGATATATGTTAGACCACTATAGAGAAACTGAGTACACTGAATGGTTGTTTCATTCTAGTACGGGATTCCTCGATAGTGCATATCCATGATCCTGCACGTGGGATTCAAACCCATGACCTACAGTCTCATACACGAACTCTTAACCTCTTGACCGATCAGTCGAGATCCAATGGTTTATAACTTCAACCACTCCGCGATACTGTGCAATCGTCTTTCATTGACTTCGGTGGGTAAATACGTTAACTCTATTGATCGTGGCTTTTCACAAAAACTTCAAGAATCATCTCTTGAAACTAATCACTAGCAAGCAAATAATAATTATCCGTTTATGGTTGTGATGATTATTGAATTTTTTATTAAAATGATGAATCAAACAATATTCAATAACCAAAAATGTAGTTAACGCACATATTTAATCATAACATAATTCATATGAATAAAACTATTCTAAACTATTCACTTGATATTGTTTGGCTTGTATCTTCTCATTGAGGTTTAAGACTGCAATATCAAATGAATTTAAAATCACCTTATTTCACAAGCAAGTGGCTGTCAAGACTCAGTAGCCGAGTGGATAATGCAATGACGTTTGAAGCGAATGGTACTGTGTTCAAGTCCCAGAGTGAACATCAACTCTAAGATACAAGTACATCCAGCTGACGAGTCCTAAATAGGACGAAACGTGAGTCAAACTGGATTCTACTGCTAGCCACTATCCATCATTGCTTACTATAAAAAAATATTCTAAACTATTTTGTTTATGAATAAGAGTTGTTTTTCTTTATCAAGCCGAAATGATTGAAAGTATATACTTTTATAGTAAAAATTAAAAATGAATAAAATGAAAAAAAATTTTTTTATCAGTAGTTTATATAATTGTCTAAGATTAATTTTTAATAAACAAATCAATCAATCAATCAATAAATCAATCAATCAATAATATTTTTTTATTCATTTGATTAGTTAATGTTAATCAATAATTGAATAAAATTTGAAATTAAATTAATTTTTTGATTTCATAAATAGTTATTCAAATTGATGTATACAAATTTTTAAATATAATGAATGAATTAAAATGAATCATGAAAATATCAATATGATCAATAAAATTGATTTATTATTGAATTAATAAATTTAATTGATTACAAATAAAAGTTATTCATTTATATTTAATTTATAACAATAATTTGGTATTGAATGAGTTGATTGTATATCATTTAAATAAGATGATGATTTGAATGAATGAAATGTATCTGATAAACTAATAGGCATTTTCTTATTGATGATTAATTTATCTTCTATGATATATTCATTAGATTTCATACAATCATGAGGTTTAATAAGTTTTTTAATTCTCTATAAAGAAAATAGAATATTGAATGTATTAAACATTTACAAAAGTGTTTCAATGATGAATAAATAGATTAAGTAATATATTTGTAATATTTCACATAAGTAGAAAAAAAAATTTAGATTTTCTGACATTTTGTAACTTAGTGTAAGTCACTTCTTCAGAGTAAATAAATAACCAAATCAAAATTAATCCAAGTTTAAATAGTACAACGGAACAATAAGAATATTATGTGATCAATCAATCAAAAAATAGGTTTGAATAAATCAATGTTATATCATTTCGGTCAATGTGACATGTATGTAAATTTGTGTATATGTAAGTGTGCACTGTTAGGAAGGAAAAATTATGTGACCTTTATGGTCACAGAATTAAAGTGTATTACAAAAACAACCAACACACTACGAAATTCTTTAGTTCTTTTAAAAGGAAAAATTCCATTTATATCAACACAAAACTGTGTCTACACATTAGGTCGTGTCAATTGTGATGTCTTCTATATTAGAGAGTCATCTCTCGAAATCCTGACTCGTGTTAAAGAATATATTAGGTACACAAAGAAACCTCCTAATAATCTCGTAGAACTGGAGAGACTTCAAATTAAATCAGCAATATCAGTTCATGACATTTTCAACGACCAACAAATCGACGTCAAAAATATTAAAATAATACAAAAAGGCTTTTCCAACTACAACGAAAGGAGAGTAGCTGAAGCGTTCCATATAATGCTTAATCCTGGAGCTCTCAATAAAAAAGAAGGCCTTACCATACATTCTATTTGGACTATCTATCCTAGCCACCTAGTCTGGTATTGTTCACAATTTATACTATTATCTTACAAATTAAACTCTATCCTTTCTCACCATAAAGGTCACATAATTTTTTATCTTTAACAGTGCACACTTATATATACACAAATTTACATACATGTCACATTGACCGAAATGATATAACATTGATTTATTCAAACCTATTTTTTGATTGATTGTACATAATATTCTTATTGTTCCGTTGTACTATTTAAACTTGGATTAATTTTGATTTGGTTATTTATTTACTCTGAAGAAGTGACTTACACTAAGTTACGAAACGTTAGAAAATCTGATTTTTCTACTCATTGAGATATTACAAATATATTATGCGTTTATAACCATCTACCCAGTGCTCAATTTATTCGAAATTATCAGCTCAAATCTTGATAATGATACCTACAGATGAATAAATAGATTTAAGAGTTGGCTTCAAAAAACAGTCTTTATTCTCATATTTATACTGATATTTGTCATAGATGGATAAATAATCATTGTCTTT